TGGTTGCAGCAGTGCATTAACAGGCAGTTACGAGAGATTCAAGCCAGATTCAGAAGACGACATTGAAAGAGGAATTATCACTGCTACCATCAGATGGGTCTTGGCTGAAAACAGACTACCAGGCTGTGGATCATAACAAACTAGGAATAGCATTGTGAAGAATGGATATTTCAAAACAAGTGTGCTCCAGACGAACCTGTACATAGACCAAGAGGTACTCACTAGAATAGAACAAGGAGATACTGAATGGTTTAAAATCAGGAAAGGTGTGTGTCAGGGTTGTATCCTTTCAGCATGCCTATTCAATCCGTACACTGATCCAATAATCTGAAAACTGAATTATATGAAGAACGTGGTATGAGGTTTGGAGGAAGACTCATTAACAACCTGCAAGATGCAGATGAGAGAGACTTGGAGTGTTTACTGATGAAGATCAAAGACGACAACCTTCAGTATGGGTTGTACCTCAATGTAAAGAGAACAAAAATCCTCACAAATGGACCAATAAATAACATCATGAAAAATGGAGAAAAGATTGAAGTTGTCAAAGACTTCATTTTGCTTGGATTCACTATCAACACCCATGGAAGCAGCAGTCAAGAAATCAAAGATTCGCATTAGGCAAATCTACTGCACAAGACCTCTTTCAAATGTTCAGGGCTTTCTGGTGGGGATGACAACCCCAGGTGATCTTGCCTCTCACAAAGGATCTCCCTCAGCCCTGTCCAAAGCCCCTGTGCCGAGCCCCAGTTCCTACCTCATGAGTGTGAGCTGCCCAGACAGTTCAGATTGCTTCAATGATGGCCTTAGTGCACCCTTAGCCAGGCACCAACTTTAGTCTACTGTGCTGGCTGCCCCATTGTCCTGTCAGGAGGAAAACCAGGACTGGCTTGCAGAAGGGTGCTCCTTCAGACAGAAGCAGTACTAAAAGCACCCCGAACCTAGATGCGGGGGGAGACCATGCCAACAAACACACTTTGGATACCTTTAAAAAAAAAAAAAGTGTTAATGAGATATCAGCTTGAGGACAAAGGTGTGCCTGACCCAAGCCAGGGTATTACCAATAAACTCACATGTATGCGAAAGCTGGACACTGAGGACTGTAGACAAATGGATGCATTTGGATTATGGTGTTGGAGAAGAATACTGAAAGCACCATGGACTTCCAGAACACAAGCAAATCTGTCTTGGAAGAAGTACCACCAGATGCTCCTTAGGAGACATCAAGGGGAGACTGTCTCTCGTACTTTGGACGTGTTGTCAGAAAGGACTCGTCCCTTAAGAAGGACATTGTACTTGGTAAATAGGTGAGTGAACAAGAGGAAGAGCTTCGAGATGGCTTGACACACAGGCAGTGGCAATGAGCTCAAACTTCACAATTGTGAGGCTGGCGCAGGACTGGGCAGGGTTTCGTTCTGTTGTGCACAGGGTCGCTATGTGTTGGAACTGACTTGACGGCATCTAACAAATGAAGTATTTCATGATGTCCTGTCGTGGTTGTCGTCATTGGAAAAAAAACTTTCCGAAGCCAAACTGGGAAATTCCAGAGTGTGGAGAAGAACGAAGCATCCGTTATCAGCATCACTTGCGATGAACGAGTGCAAGTGGAGTGCAGGCAGATGGCCACGAGCAGGCTTGTCTGCTGGCGGCGATGATGAGAAACCTCACAGCCACGTGTAGCTCTCAGCTGGTGGCTTGGAGCACCGGTCACTTGCACAGACCCTCTGGTCACATGAATTTACAGCCAATGTCCTCCTGGCTCATCAGACCATCGCCTTCCTATATGCACTCTAACTTCGTTGTCGGTTCCGACTCACAGCGACCCTGTAAGGGTTTCCCAGGAGCAGCGGGTGGGTTTGAAGCGCTGACCTTGTGGTTTGCCATCCAGTGCTAATCCTATAGAGCCAGCCCAGGGGTCGACTCTAACTTCAGAACTCGGTTAAACAAGGCAACCCAACCACCCCAGTGCCATGAAGCCTGTCAGGACGCACAGCGGTCCTACTATAGAGCACAAGCGTCCTCTCGGTTCCAAGGCCACCATCTTTATGGAAGCAGACTGACAGTTCTCTCTCGGAGCAGCTGGTGGGTTTGAACCTCCTGCCTTGTGGGTCAGCAGCCTAATGCTTAACCCACTATACCACCAGTACTCCTGGAAGAACCACCAGAAGAAGCCATTTCCTTGGTTAAAGAATTCAATGTGCAAAATGGAGCTTGGCTTAAAATAGACTTAAAATCAGGTTTTATAGTTTAGAATTTTTCCTGTTGAATTGAAAATTGAGTCACCTTCTGGAACTCAACAGTAAGAGGCTATGGTTGTTGTTAGGCAATGTCGAATCAGCTCTGACTCAGAGCGACCTCGTATACGCTTTCTGAGAGCGGCTGCTGGGTTTGAACTGCTGCCCTTGTGGTTACCGGTCCAGTGCTGATCCTACAATGTCACCCCGGGGATCAGTGCTGGCTCTAAGACACTGAGAATGTGTGTGTCTCTGCCTTGCACACACTCCCCACTTCTCTCCGACGTGACTGCTCGTGCTCCACGTTGAATACCTTTGCTTTGTCAAGACTGTGCTGAGCAGCTGGCTCAGAGAGGTCTGGGCGGCAGCCTCAGAAGGTGTGAGGAAAACAAGACTTCTCCTACAGCTCGTGCACAGCACGGCTCTGAGCCATGTCCGAGTTGGCAGGAGACTTGGTTTGCACTGGGCTGGTCATTTCAGAACGGATCATTGTGGCCATTGCAGCACACTGGCCCCCCTCTGCCTGCCACTGTCTGACATCAAGCCTGGCCATACATCCGTCCTTGCGCCCACAGGCCAGACCTCCATCCACTGCGCGGCAACTTGGGGTGCCTGCCAACACACGGTGTGGAATTCCACACCACCGATACCCTACAACGACATCACGCCGTAACAGCAACATCTCCTGCCATCCACGTACTACTTAAGTTGCTTGTTGGAAAGAAAAAGAAGTATGAGAATCACAGGAGAAAGCTCATACTTTATTCTAGAAGTACGTGTTTTCTGAAGGGTGACTTGTCTCCTTTGAATATAAAAATTAGAATCCACTCAACTTGAAATTCAATTTCTGGAAGTTAGGCTTTCAGGAACCCTTGGAAACTCATCAACCTGACAGAGGAAGGTGTGTGTGGATCCCACGTGTGTATTTTCTTATAAGAACAAATAAGACCAGGATTTCAGGGGTGCCCAGACTGTAACAATCGTCTACAAAAAGCATGGATCATCTTTCAGGTCTCTGAGACGGACTGGCCCGGCTTATCAAACATCACTTCTCCACCCAGAACAGGGGGAAGTGCTGCGCTCATAAAGGAAAGATGGAAGTTCCCAGAACTTCCCTCACGAGAATGACAAAATGCATGCATCTGAAAATAAACACAAATGCTTATAAAGGTCTGCCCCCCCCCCGACCCCAAGCCCAGTTATGAACTGAAATGCACATTCCATACACTTGTAGAAAAAATAGGTGATTGCTTTTAATGATTTATGTATAAAAGAAAAATAAATTGTATGATACAATCTGAGCCACTACTTCATACAAACACATTTTAACTGGCATACAATGAGTGCAGTCCCCTGCCACACACACAATATTCTATTCAGATAAACAGAGTCACCAAAGGCAGGCGTGAAGCGAGACAGGGTCCATGCAGGCCCGTGACTGAACTGTCCCAGACAGCGGGAAAGAGACTGCAGACACCCAGCGCTCCACATCACTGGCACACTCCTCTCTCCCCGCCCCCCGAAGGGTCTGCAAGGTCGGTGTTTCACGGCGGCAGACTTTAACCATCTGCCTCTTGGCCTTCTTCAGGGTAGAAGATCACAGAACTACCTCAGGAAGCGATGGAGTTTGGAAATTGCATTAAAGCAAAAGGACACTGTGCTGTGGGCGAAACTCGTGCGTGTTCGAACCCCGAGGCTGCGGCGCTGCAGGGCCTGCGTCTGAGCTAGAGTCTCAAGAACCGGACCTGAAGGCCCCGAAGGCCATCTCCAGACCCAGGCCTGCCCTCCTGTGCAATAACTTAGATCTGAGTAAGTATTTACAGCAGAAATATGTGAAAAACGAAATATAAACCATATACATAAAACAAAACCTTTACTTCAAAAACAATTTCCAAAAAACAACGGTACCATTCCACTTTTGTTCTAAATCAGGGCTTTCTTTCCCGGATTTCCCCAGATCCGTGGCTCTTTTGGGGAGCACACGCCTGTGCAGGGGCCAGGGGAGGATGGGGCAGGGCAAGAGCCTCTGCTTAAAGGGCCATATGGGCACGTATGTGAGGAAACCCAGGCTCCAAATGTCACCAGCTGGAGACGAAGTCACCTGCAGACCCTGCCGAGGAGGCCGGATTGAACGCTTGTTTTAAGTGTGCAGACGTGAAGGGCTGGGCAGAGACACTAGGAGGTGGCCTAGCGGTTCCCATGCGCCATCGGTGGGAAAGAGCTGACCACCAGGACACAGCGCTTCTGAGGCCTCGTTCTATCGCTGAAATGTCCACGCAAGAGCGCAGCCAGCCTCCCCGAGGCCACTGCCTCACCTGCGAAGCCCTTCACCAGGCTTCAAAACGCTCCAGACCCCGTGTCCCCTGGCGTGGCCACCCACTCACCTGCAGGGAGATTCCGGTTCAGAAACTGACGAGCGTTCTGAACACCTGCCTGCAATGCAATCTGCGCTAAGAAAGCGGGCTCTTTCCAGACACACTGCTACACCCGACGGGTTTTAAAGCTCAGAACCCGGAATCAGCTGGGCAATCGCTTGGGAAGCTGTTCGTCTGCTGAGCAAACGGAAACTTAGAAGAGTGAGCACGTTCTATCTCCCTTTTTATTTTTACAGTGAGGACGACTTTCAGTCCCGGCAACGCCGAGCTTTCACCGTCGGGAGCTCAAGTTGATGCTGTGCACCATCCTCTGGATCTTCTCCTCATTCTTCAGGATGTTGGCCTTCACGGCACAGATCTTGTCCTGCTGCTCCTTAATCAGCTGCTCTAGCTCCACCAACTCAGCCTTCAGGGGCTCCACCGTGCCGTCCGTGATGCTGGGGGGGCAGGGACGGGGCATCACTACGGCTCCAGGCCCAGACAAAGGGTAACGCCGATAGGGACGCACCAAAAATCCACCCGCAGTCTACTCTAAGATGACAGCTCAGGAAACCCTATCGGGTACTTCAGTAAGGTCACGGGGTCACCATGAGGCAGAATCAACTCAATGGCACCCCACAATTCCAAGTGTTGTCGAGTGGGTTCTGACTCACAGAGACCCTGCCTGCATGGGGTTTCCTTACGGTCCAGTGCTGACCCTACAGCACCACACCAGGAGTCCACCACAGCATTGTTGTTGTTAAATGCGGTTGAGTCGTTTCCGACCCATAGCGACCTTGTACCCATAGAGAAGATGGTAGGTTTGAACTGCCGACCTTGTGGTGGCAGCCCAGGGCTGATCCTACACCAGGAGTCCACAACAACATAGCTCCACCTCATTCCAGGTAAACTGAGGGTAAGTATAGAAGCGATCCCACTTGGGGCGGCTAGTTCTTTAATGACAACAATTTTACATGATTCACCCTCATTTCTTTCAGAGTGAAAAAAGGAAGTATCTTCTAACGGAAAGCCATCAAAAACTGGCACATGAAAATAAAAATAGAACAAGGTGCAAACTCCCGTGATTTCCCATTTCAAAGTCTGTGTCTGGTATGAACTGAGCACCTTTCCCGGCTGCTCTGCTGACGAGGAAGACCAGCAGTGCCTTTGGGGAGGAGGGAGAAGAGAGAGCAGAGACCAGGGTCCTCCCTGCAGAACTCTCCCCAGGGCGCCATGGAAGCACTGGACTGCAGGGTCAGCGGTTCAAACTCACCAGCCACTCCTCAGAAACTCTATACAGGCCAGCTCCCCAGCCTGCCTGGCCCCAACACTCCTAGTCCATTGGGCCTCCTCAGACCCCTAGTCTCCCAGTGATCTCTGATCTGCATGCAGGGCCCCCAACCCCCAAGCTCCCCAGCCCCGCTGACCTCTAATCCTTTGCAGGGTGGGTCCCCAGTTACCCCATCAATCTCTGCTCCATGTGCAAGGCCCCCAGTCCCCACCAGCCCCTATTTGGCTGACCTCCACTCAGTGTGCAGGGCCTCCCCCATCCCCGTGCTGACCTCTGCCCCGTGTTAACCTCTGTCCTTGTGCTGACCTCTGTCCCCATGCTGACCTCTGCCCCCGTGCTAACCTCTGTCCCTGTGCTGACCTCTGCCCCGTGCTGACCTCTGCCCCTGTGCTGACCTCTGCCCCCGTGCTGACCTCTGCCCCTGTGCTGACCTTTGCCCCCGTGCTGACCTCTGTCCCCATGTTGACCTCTGCCCCCGTGCTGACCTCTGCTCGGCGTGTAGGGCCTCAGCATGCTGCCGACTCTCACTGTGCCACAGCTGCAGTTCATTGTGCATGGCGTCCATGTCCTCCTGGATGTAGTCCATGATCTTACCCAGGGGCAGCGCGCTCTTGCACAGTGCCTGGATGGATGTGCGGAGCTTTTCCATCTCCTTGGAGACAATGTCCTTCTCCTTCTTCCAGGCCGACTCATAGACCAGCGGTTTCTCCTGCAGATGTGGGGGACACAGAAAGAGAGAGAGAGAGAGAGAGAGAGCGCCTCAGCCTGGGTGTATGAAACACGGGAGAATGGCATGTGGCTCCCTGGGTGGATGTGAGGGGCCACACACCTTAGGCACAGGATCCCTGCCTGCCCAGCTGTCCAAGGGTCACGCTACTACAGAGACAGTTTAGTTACTAACTGCCCAGAAGCTGGCTGCAGTCACTGCTCCGAAGTCCCAAAGGGGCTCTGAGAGAGAACTGTTCTTGCATCACGTGACTTGAAGGGGTCACCTTCGCATCCCAAATGACCTTGAAACCCAGCTTCCCAGAAACCAGCCATAGGGGAAGGAAGACAGGTGGGAGCCAGGCCCAGGTGAGGCCCAGGGTCACGGCAGACCAGGGCTGATAAAGGGCCTGGGGTGGGAGGTTCTGCAACTGAGTAAGTCTCTTCTTGTTGTAAAGTGCCATCAAGCTGGCTCCAACCCATGACAACTCTGTACAGGGTTTCCAAGGAGCGACTGGTTGAGTTTGAACCACTGACCTTGCGGTTCAAACCAACCTCAGGTCGAGTGTATCTCCTCCGGCGTCGCTAGCTCCATCCTTTATTGACTCTGTTATTGTATATAAGTATACAGAGAGCTTTTGTATAACGCCAGTACACAGAGGAAATGCTAGGTAAATGGAACAAAGGATAAAATGTAAAAGTCCTAGAAGTAACGAGGGAGCTCAGCAAGGCTACAGAATCGAAGATGAACAAAAATCCGTTGTATTTCCACCGACTGGCAAAGAGAACTGAAGGTGGACACCAAAAGGAAAAATACCATTTATGATCACTTTTAAACAAATAAACTACTTAGTGGTAAATCTAACAAAACATTAGCAGGACTCATGCGCTAAAATCTACACAAGGCTGATGAAAGAATTCAAAGGTGATCTAAATAAATGGGGAGACCCAGAATTGTAAACTAATGTACGAGTTTAACACAATTCCTATCAAGACCCAGCAGGATCTTTGGTAGATGTAAGATGATTCTAAAATAGACATTGAAAAACACAGGAACTAGAAGAACCCATTTTGAAACTGAAGATTCCAAGTGGGCGGGGCCAGCCTATCCCATGTGAGACTTCTAAGAGAGATATTGTGATCACCACTAGGGGGTGCTGGTACACAGCTAGCAGGACAGAACAGAGGGCCCAGAACAGACCCACACAAATGTGGCCCACTGAGCCGCACAATTCAGTGCGGGAATCTGGCCTTTTCAATAAATTGGACAACCTTAAGTAAATAAAGACACCACAAGTCTAACAGCTTAGCCCAAAATTCACTTAAAATAGACCACGGACTCAAAACGCACAACATAGAAGACATAGGGGGAAATCTGGGAGACCTAGGGCTAGGATCTAAGGCTTGATACCAGAAGACAATCCACAAAAGCAAAATTGATCAGCGGAACTTCACCCAAACTACAGACTTTCGTTCTGTGAAGACCCTTGTAAGAAACGAAAAGGGAAGTTACAAAGTGAAAGTATTTGGAAACTACGTGTCATCCAAAATGAACTAGTATACAGGCTAGGCTGGGGGAAGGAGTGGGGGTGGAAAGAGGAAACCGAGGGAATGGGATGAACGACGCTATGCTGGCGGGACAGCAACCACTGAGATGAAACCAAGTACGTGACGTGTTGGGTGTCAAACTGATGACCTGCTTTGTAAACCTTCACTCAGCTCACAATAAAAAGGTTTTAAAAATGAAAGCACACCTCTTAAATGACAGACTGCATTATACGAGGAGCTTCAAATGTTTTGAGGAAAAGTGCAATGATAAGGTCATGGAATGTTCCCACCAACCTTTTGACACCCCATCATATAGAGTTCCTAGAACTGTGTCGTTATGAAACCCCTGTGGCATAGATGTTAAACGTTGTTGTTAAGTGCTATCGAGCCAGTTCAGACTTATAGCGACCATGAATAGGGTTTCAGAGGAGCGACTGGTGGGTTTGAACCGCCAACCCAGCGGTGAGAATCTGAGGTCACACTAACCAGATGGAATTTGTAGTTGTTATTAAGTGCCATTGAGTCAGTTCCGATTCATATGGACCCTGTATAGGGTTTCCAAGGAGCTGCTGGTGAGTTTGAACCACCAACCTTGTAGTTCAAACTGACCTTATGGTCAAATGTTTTTTCTTGAATTTTGGAAACAGAAGAGCTAACAGCACATGAAAACATATTATTACACGATCACCATCTAAAACCCCGTGGCACGTGGGTGGATTTGTGGTCAGAGGGGCGAGTGGTTGACCAAGGTGCTCAGGAGCGCCACCAGCTCCTCAGTAAAGGACATGGCGTTTGCCTCAGTGTCTCTGGATCTCACAGTGAAACAGAAACAGAAGAATCTATCCTGTAGGTAGGCCTAGAGAAGAGTGCTGGCGCCCAGCAAACTGCTCCGAAGGCACCCGCTAGAACCACGGCACTCGCCTGCAGCTGCGGGACAGGTCCCTTAGTGGCGCCTCGGAGAACCTGTGACTTGCCCTTGTGTCAGCTTACCAGCCGGCCACCAAACGTTCCTCATCAGGCACGTATGTGGGGACTCTGCTGCAGACGGAGAAATACATCCAACAGCACGCAGTTCTACTCTGTAACACGAGGGGTCGCCACGAGTTCACTCAATGGCAACTGGTTTGGGGTTTTTGTTTGTTTGTTTGATACAGTCCCTTTCATCTCTATTTTAAAAGCACAAATAACCCGCAACCCTGAAATTAGATCTCAAAAGTCTTCATTACAGAAAGCCAGGGTTTCCACGGGCTTCCCGCCCCGACCACCCACCAGGCTGCACACTGGAGGCTCCCGACACAAGGGCCCCAGTGCTGGGCTCTCACATACCCACAAAGTCACTTACTCTGGGGACTTAAGATTCTGGGCACTTTACCACCCACGCTGCCCCCAGAAGTGGGGGCACTGTATGTTTATAGTGGTTTTAAATTTTATGATGATGTATTAAAGGCCAGGTCAATAAAAATGATTGACCTTAAAGATTTCCTTTCTTTCTTTCAATTCCAAATGCCACGCTTCAGCAGACAAAAACCCGGCCCTCAGCCAGATCCGGCTGCTGCTCTCTCCGAAGCAGGACTTGGGGGCCACGGGAGGGCCGCCATCTGCAGTCTAGTGGTACCTGCTCTCTGCCTCCACCTACCATGGGGTTTGACAGGTTCTGAAGGCTCCTGAGCAGAGTATTAATTAGGCTTTACCAGACAAGAACAAACCCAATAGGCCAGAGCGAGATTAAGAGGGGAGAGGGAAGTTATATCCAAGTGTGATTGTCCACGATTAATACTCTCTCTCCCCTGACCTCAGAAATAGATTTCTATGCATCGTCTCGAAGTTCATGTTCTTCATAAAGCCGCATTCTCTATAGGGGAAAAGTACAGATCAACTAATGGCTCTGAGGGTCCTGTTTATCACGAAATAGCCCATGATGGGGCTTCCAAAAGTTCCTGGGAAAATCCACTCATTCTTCATTCCACTGCCTGTGAATGTTTAGGAGCGCCTTCATAGTTCTCAGTACACCACTGTTGATCTCTACTGTGGGGCCTCCGGCCTGGACATTCCAGCTGGCACAACGGGATGAAGAACAGCATCCGACGGCCTGGGTCTGCATCCCAGCCAGCAGCCTCTGACGAGTCAGTCCCTCACCCTCTGAGGCCTCCTTGTGAAAGGGGGACAACAGCACCGCTATTCCAGGATGGTCACCTGACATGACCCACGTACAGGTAGACCTCGGAGACAGCATGGGCTGCAGACCGTCGCCGGCAAAGTGAGCCACAGCCACCGCTGGTCTCCCAGTACACATACAAGGGGGCCTCGAAAAGTTTGGGACAGATGGAAATGAAGAGCTAGCAGAACTTTCCCATCAATGTTTGGAAGCCCCTTCACAAGGGTTATGTTTACACAATGCTGAGGTCTACGAAAGGAGCCGTGGAGGCACCCTGGGCTGGAAGTTGGGCGGCTGGCCCCACGTTTCATGGGGGTTAGCGTGTAGAGAAAGTAGACCCATCAGGCAGAGTGAGCACCCCCACACTAGACCAGTTCTGACCCCATCGGTCACTCCCACGGCACTGTCCACCTCTCAGCTGGACTCAACAAGTCCTGCCAATGACAACACACAAGTCACAGGCCACACTGGGGTTTAGGCGCTTCATTCAGGAAGGTAACCAGGTACAAGTCAGGATCACAAATGCTCAAGACACAGGTCTTCAAACAGGACAGCCTCTTCACAGCTATTCTCTGGTCCTTGGCCTCGGCCCTGCCCAGGCAACATTACAAAACTCTACCACTGCTGATGAATGTCCACAGGGCACACTAGCCACCATAAGCCTCGGCCTGAAGGCACTTGGCTCTAGCTCCATGGGCCAGCCAGCCTTGCTCCCCTATTGAAGTGCCCGGGGCAGCCCAGTCGGAGAGGGAGCCTCCAGGCTGGAAGCTCTCGGCCTTGTTCCTCCCTGGGCCTGGAGCCCGTGGCTCTGTCCCATGCTCGGGCGCTTGGTTCTGCAGCCGCGGCTCCTCTGCCCCTCCTCCGGTGTCACAGCTCTGTCCCTGGGTCAAGGAGGGTCAATGTGCAGGGATCCTGGGGCCTAAAGGGCATGTGAGATGGCTGCTGAGAAGGCTCACTGTATACCAGCAGGATGGCAAAACTGGCTAATGCCCACGTTAGAGTTCCAGGTTTTTACAATCCCAGTGAAGCCTGTTAACAATTCATCAAAACAGAATCATCTCCTGCTGTGAGCGTCTCCTGCCAGCTCATCTTCCCCAGGCAGGCAGGACAAGAAGAGACACCACCCATTGTTTGTGGGATTGCAAAGACTGTGGCTAGAAGACCATGTCAAGTTTCCACAGCAGTCCACAAACCCACAATGGGCTGTGCACTTATAAACAGATGCAGACATGTCTAAAGGCTAATATCCCATGGCACGTGGAGCTACATAGGGCCGACATAGTCAAGCTCTACTGGAGCCC